TAGCAGAGAGAAGTCTGAGAGCAGGGAGACAAGACAGGAAGCTATTACAATAAAGTAGGTGAGGAGCAAAAGACACAATTCTATGGCAGAGGGTGAAAAGGAGTCTAGAGAGGATGACATAACTGACATTCTCTGTGACTGATACAAGACTGGGAGAGGATGATTTCTATGTGAAGGGTAGATTGGCAGATGATGGTTTCAAAGTAGGGAACATCGTCTAACATACCTACCTTTCATTAAATCCATTGTGCCAGGCACTGTGGACTACCCCATTGTATACAGGGGAAAACTATTAATTCCATATAGCAAAAAGTATATATGTGTACCTCTTTTCTGTACTGAAACTCTATTAAAAATGATATTAGAAATTTTTTTTTAAACTCTCAATGATAAGGAAAATGGCACAGAAGTCACTCAATAATGAGGCTTTCTGGAAGACCACAAGCAGATAGAAGAGTATTAAAACATGCAGCAGAGAAGAGGAATTAGCAGCCTAGAGAAGTCTCAACAAAATCAGGACAAAGGAGGAAAAGGACCTATTAAACAGAGTCCTAAAGAAGCTAAAATTTAGAAATGGCAATATTTTTTTTTCAAAGGGACAGGGTTTCTCTGCTGTCCACGCTGGAGTGCAGTGGCATTACCACAGCTCATGGTAGCCTCACACTCCTGGCTTCAAGCAATCCTCCCACCTCAGCCTCCAGGGCAGCTGGGAGTATAGGCATGTGCCACCATGCCCAGTTAATTTTTTTTCAGAGACAGGGTCTCACTATGTTGCCAGGCTCTTCATGAACACCTGGGTTCAAGCGATCCTCCTGCTTTGGCCTCCCAAAGTGCTAGGATTACAGGCCTGAGCAACAGCACCTAGCAGAAATGCTAGATCTCAAGAGCCTGGGTTAGAAAAGAGGCTGGAAAAGGACAAATTAATCGCAAGTCTGTATCCTCAACATATTTCCCATGCCTATATCCAAAATTTTAGTACTTTCCTAAAATAATAATGATAATAGATTTTATATAAATATACTGAAGAGTATAGGAATTAGAACTCCTAGTGTGGGTACTGATGTGGAAAGTAATTACTCCTTCATTTGGGCATTCAAATGACACCCTCACCCTCTTCCTCCAACCCTTATCCTTACCTTCAGTTTAACACCTGCCTTGCCACTTACACTTTTTTGGGGGGGGGGGAGGGTCTTGCTATGTTTCCCAGGCTGGTCTTGAATTTCTGGGCTCAAGTTATCCTCCCACCTCAGCCTCCTGAGTTGCCTGGATTATAGGCACAAGCCACCACGCCCTGCTCCAGCCACACATCTTTGAACAACATTAATACTGTACATACATGCGTGTGCACACGCGCACACACACACAAACACAGAGTTACACAGTTCCAATTTGCTTTCCAAGACTCTCATTCTTAATCATAGACAGTTGTGTAGAAAGCCTACAGAGTTCTGAAGCAGACTTCAAAACACAAAAGAAAAACTGTCCCCAGAGAAACAGACTTCAGAAAGTAACTTTTTAAAATCCGAAACATTTAAGAACTACTAAGTTCATTAAACAGTGATAAAATTCAATGAGAATGGAATTAATGGAGAAAATAAGCTACTTAAACACAATACTGCCAAAATGAAAATTCAATAGAAAATTCAAAATTGACTCTATTTTAGAAGAAAAAAATAAAATACAAAGGATCAATCTGGGCAATAACAAAAACAAATTCAAAAGAAGGAGAGAATATTGGCTGAGTTCATGCCTGTAACCCTAGTACTTTGGGAGGCTGAGGTGGGAGGATCGCTTGAAGCCAGGAGTTTGAGACTAGTCTGGGCAACAAAATGAGACCCCATCTCTACAAAAAAATCTTTAAGTTAGCCGTGCATGGCAGCACATGCATTTACCCCTAGCTACGCAGGAAACTGAGGCAGAAGAATAGTCTGAGCCCAGAAGTTGGAGGTTGCAGAGAGCTGTGATCGTACCACCACACTCCAGTCTGGGAGACCCTGGCTCTTTTTAAAATAAATAAATAAATAAGAGAGAATATTAAACAGAGAGAAGTTATTAAAAAGGAAAAATTCCTAGGGGTGAAGTCTTTAAACTCAAAGGGTATACATCAACTAGAAATGGAACATTAAAAGAGTTCACACAACTCTGTGAAATTTCAAAAGAGGAAGAATAAAGAGCCTAAAGGGAACGAGGGGGAGAAAAAAGAACAGGTGACCTAAAAATGGGGAAGAATCAGCCTAGTATCAACTTTCTCATCAACAATGATAAATTCTACAATATAAATTCTGTGTAAATTAGATTTCTCCCCTTAGAATTCTATAAACAAAGTATCAATCAAGTTTAAGGGAAGGATTAAAGCACCTTGAATTATGAAAGGACTCAGGATTTAATTCCCACAAACCCTAAGACATTTCTCTAGGATGAAGTACCAAGCAAAAGGAGGAAGTCAACCAAGAAGAAAGAGAAGCGATGGGATCCAGGACACAGCAGGTCCAATCCAGAAAAGCAATGGAGGAGAAATCCAAGCAAGGCAGCCAGGCAGCAGGCTGCGAGCCAGTCAAATTTGGAGGGATGCCAGAGAGAGATCTCTAAGAAAAATGGGGGTTTCTTGGAATAGATACTGCTGATTGAGAGGTTAGAAAAACAAAACATATAAAAATATGATCAAAGGTGTAATATACAGGAGGTAAAAGCAAATAAGAAAGGTAAATAAAACTTTTTGCAAGAAAGTTATTGTTTAAATCTGAGACAAGTAACTAGTTAAACCGGAAGAGGAATCAGTGGGTTTCAAGAAAAAATGGAATAGATTTTGCTTAATTTATGGTGTTCAGACTAGAATTCATGTTTACATATTTGAACTTTATATTAAGGCCAATTTCTACCTTTAGGAAAATGTTTAGCATCAAGAGAATGGCTTTACTTTTATAGTAGATTCAGCTGTTTCAGGACTCAGTTGTTTGGAAGGTTAGTCATTTTTGCATATTCATGGTCTCAGTTATTGGCTATTAATTTACCCTTCTTTAAGATTAAAAGGCAACTTATTAATTCTAATATTAACAGGGCTGATAGCTGAGCATGAACCACATGAAACATTAATTAGTTCTCTCTCAAAATGATCCCCAGGGATATGTTTTCTAAATGCAGCTATCGCCCCTTCTCCCTTATCACCTCTTGTAACGCCTGGACTGATACTGAATTAAATAGAAAGTCAAAATGGTTTTCTACGAGTTTTTAGTTCCATTCTATTACTAAATTCAAAAATTCAAAGCCACAGGTTCCAAAAGGAGTTATCTATATATAAGATTTCACCCAAGTTTTTATTAACCCAAGAAAAAGGGTAAATATTATCTCCTAGCTCTGATATATACTACTCACGAAGGTTCCAGGAATAATAATTAGAACAAAAGGCTTTTCAAAGGAAGAGAGAAGGCTAAGGAACTAGGAACTCTTCTAGATTAAAGGAAACCAGTAAAACTTGAATACAAAATACAATGCTGATTCCTAGAGTGGACTCTGGATTTTAAAAAAATTGAAAAAGGCAAGGGTTGGGAGAAGAGCAGCTATAAAGAACAATATTTGGACAATACAGTCCATTGTGAATATGGGCTATATATGTATAATCAATAATAGTACTATATGTATAATCAATAATAGTACAAGTCTATGTGTATGTGGAAGGATACCCTTGTTCTTAAGGGACACATGCTGAAGTATTTAGGGGTGAAAGGTTATAATATCTATAAACTACTCTCAAACAGTTCAGAGACAAAAAAAAAAAAAAAAAAAAAAAGGTTGCACATTTCCACAACTGGCGAATCTAAGTGAAGGGTATAGTGGTGGTCATGTAACTAATACGACTTTTCTAAAGATGTGAAAGTTTTAAAAATTTAAAACTTGGGGATAATAATATGCACTTTAATAGAGACTTGACATTAAATTTTCTGAGGCATGACAATACTGTTCTATATGAGTGTCCTTATTTTTATAAGATGCAGGCTCAAGTACTTAAAGGTAAAGCTTATGTCTATAACCTCCATAAGATTCAGGAGAAAAATAAATAGATGTAAATATTTTTATCTTTTGTGTAACTACTATAGGTTTTTGCTTTGTGGTTACCATGAAGCTTACAAAAACTTCTTGTAACAGGATATTTTAAGGTGATAACAACTTAACTTTCATTGCATTTAAAAACTCTACACTTTTACTCCATCCCCTCCCATCCAACATTTTAAATTCTGATATCACAATTTTATGTTTTTATATTGTGTCTCACTTAACAAATTATTGTAGCTATTATTATTTTAGCTACAATAATGAGGAGGAGTAAGTTCAGGATATCTATTATATGACATGGTGAATAAGGCTAAAGACAATGTATTCCATTCTTGGAAACTGCTGAGAGTGGGTTTTACTTGTTCTCAGCACAAAAAAAAATGGTGTGTGAGGTGATACACATGTTAATTAGGTCAAATTCACTGTTCCACAATGTGCACATATTTCAAACCAACATGTACACAATAAATACAATGTTTGTCAAAAAATAAATAGGGATATACATGCGCACACACATATATATAGATACTATAGTTCAAGTTGAGTTTTATTAAGAGGGACAGGGAGAGGGAGGGAACATGTGTACGTGGTACCATCTTACCGCAGCATCAACATTAGCAGGTGAGTCTCCGTTAGGGTCTGCCAGCATAGAAATGACACTAATCATGATGGTTTCCACAGTGTGGATAGGGAGCCAGCGTTCCTCTGGCTTTTCATAACCATATTTATCTTCCCCAGGCTCGTGAAGAATAGAAATGCACACATCACCATTTTTATCAACTGCAAAATTAGAGAAAAGAGTCCTGTTTAACACATTGCTAATTTGGTTAGACGTAAAATGTCTGTTAAAATTTGATCCCAATTCACACAGTACCTGTATAAAACATTACATATATACAGAAGTGAATTTCCAAAATGAAATCTACTGACTTTTTAGGGAGACTATAGAATTTTACCAAATACTCAGGATCCATCTGATAAATCCAATAGAAATGTAACCTATCTTTTTCATTCATGTTAAACTTTAAGATATCTAGCATGTAGATGGATTGTGGTTAGCATTTACAGGTAGTAAATACAATGTGAATGAATAAATGGAAACTATTGGATCTGTTCTTCATTTGCGAAAAGTATATGATCCAAAATACCAGAAATGAGTTTCCATGTAATGTTTTCCTTATTTCCCCATTAATTTACTAACTTAAATGGTGATAGTCAAAGGTCTAAAGACATTCCTAACAACAAGAATATCATAATGTACTTTTTTTTTTTTTTTTTTTTTTTTTGAGACAGAGTCTCACTCTTTTTGCCCGGGCTAGAGTGCCATGGCGTCAGCCTAGCTCACAGCAACCTCAAACTCCTGGGCTCAAGCAATCCTTCTGCCTCAGCCTCCCGAGTAGCTGGGACTACAGGCATGCGCCACCATGCCTGGCTAATTTTTTCTATATATTTTTAGCTGTCCGATTAATTTCTTTCTATTTTTAGTAGAGACGAGGTCTCACTCTTGCTCAGGCTGGTTTCGAACTCCTGAGCTCAAACAATCCTCCCGCCTAGGCCCATAATGTACTTTTAAAATCATATACAGGCAAAAGTACATTTTCAGGGAAAGGAGCACAAAAAGGAACATGTTGTATTGCCAGTGAAAATTCATCAACATATATGATATTCAGGCTGGGCACAGTGGCTCAAACCTGCAATCCTAGAACTTGGGGAGGTCAAGGTGGGAAGATTGCTTGAGTGTGAGACCACCCCAGGCAACAGCCAGACTCATCGCTACAAAAAAATAAAAAACTTAGCCAGGTGTGGTGGCACACACTTGTATTTCCAGATACTCTAAGGTTCCTCTTCTCAACCCACCTCCATCTGCTAGTAAAATCTATCAACTAAAATGGAATCACCAGATCAAGAGGCAAGAATAACATCAAAACTTATAAACACTACACATAACAGTTCAGCAAAAAAGTTTACAGAGTATGATTTTACTATGTTTTCTTTACGTATTTCATAATAAGGATTTTTTTCCAAGTTATTTTTCCTTGAAAACATCACTAAATGTTTATGCAGAATTCTATCAGAGGGAATCCATGTAAGATCCATTTTTCTTTTGTAAAAAATTAAGTTATCACTAATCTAGGATCTTCAGATTTTTAACCTTCTTGTGTCATTTTTCTTTTTTTCCCCTTTGAGATGGGGTCTCACTGTGTTGTCCAGGCTGGAGTACAGTGTCTATTCAGAGGCATGATCATAGTTCATTTCAGCCTCGAATTCCTGGCATCAAGTGATCCTCCCATCTCAGCCTTCTGAGATGCTGGTGCGCAAGTGTGCACCAACACACCCATGTCATTTCATTTTAAACACACAATTTATGTTAGAATGAGAACGTTTTTAGGCTTAAAACCTATTGCCAAATGATATTTTATTTATTTTCTAAAGTGAAAGTAAAACTCATTCAGAAACTGTGGAAAGTCTACTCCACAGACAACAGAGGCAAGTTCTCCCTGCAGGAGAGAACTGGACCCCTGCAGAAACTGTAGAAAGTCTACTCCACGAAGTAGAGGCTGGCCCTCCCTACAGAAGAGGACTGGCCCTGAATTGTATTTTAAAGGATTATATCAATTTATATAGACATCAACAGCATGAGGTAACCATTTCATCGTCTCCTCACCCAAGATGTACAAGATCCATTATTGATACTGTTTAAATTTCATATATTACAGCTGGTTTAATCAGCTTTCTAAGTATGTATGAGGTGACAATTTTTCATGACTATAACCTATCTTTCCTCTTCTGCAAAATATCTGCTCTTATCCTTTAGTAGCCGGTTACATACTCGGGGGTTATTTTTCCATTGCCAAAATGCTTTTTAATTTTCCCCCACAAAATTTTTGTCTGTTACTTTTTTCTTTCATTTTAATGTTTTTCAGAGTTAGCTTTATTTTCTGACACAAAATCCACTTAAGAATCCTATATTGCATGTAGTTGTTATTTTTCTTTAGTTTCTTTTTAAATTCTAACCATGTTTATTACTTTTGAAACTAGAAAGTTCTTGTCCCTAACATATGTATATCAAATAAGTGATAGTAAATACTATTTTTTAAAATCACCTGTAACTTTTTATTCCATTTAGAGTTTTAAATTACTTTGCTGTTTGGTATGAACAAAATTAAATCATTTTCCACATAAATAACTAGCCAATAGTCTCAGCATCGATTACTAGAAACAAAGCACATCTCTTCTATGAGAGATCATAGCTGTGATTATTAAACTACCTGAACAATGCATACCCTTCTAGCTATCTCCTTTCTATTGAAGCCATTCATCTAAAATTATGAAAAGCTGATCTACCCTCATCTTCTCTACTCATTACTTAGGTACTCCTTTACCGTACTGGAAACAGGCTTCTGCTCCTTATCAGGACACTATGACTGTTCCCACGAAGTAGTCTGGATAACATATTCTCCTGGGTCCTTCTATTAATATCTATCTAAAGTAAACCCGTCTATGCCAAGAAAATAGATATTGTTAACAACATCTTCCTGGACACATTTTCCTCCCTTAGCTTCTGTGACACCCTGCTTTTCCCTGGTTCTTGTACGGTTCTTTCAGTCTTTCTCATTTTCCTTTCCCTTATTCTGACTTTTGATATTATCCTAATCTCCAACAATAACCATCTTTTTCCTGGATAAATTAACTAATTCATTATATCACAATGTTATCTATCAAAAAAAAATTTTTTTTTTGAGACAGAGTCTCGCTATGTTGCCCAGGCTAGAGTGCTGTGGCATCAGCCTAGCTCACTGCAACCTCAAACTCCTGGGCTCAAGTGATTCTCCTGCCTCAGCCTCCCGAGTAGCTGGGACTACAGGTGTGTGCCACCATGCCCAGCTAATTTTTTTTTTTTTTCCTATTTTAGCTTCCCAGCTAACTTCTTTCTATTTTTAGTAGAGAAAAGGTCTCGCTCTTGCTCAGGCTGGTCTCAAACTCCTGAGCTCAAGTGATCCTCCCACCTGGGCCTCCCTGAGTGAGCCACTGCGCCCGGCTGTTACCTATCACTTGATACAGTAATTTCCAAGGCCCTAAGCTGACTACTGAACCCTGGACTGCTTTTATCAAATTATCTAACTGGATGTAGCAAGTATACCTCAAGAAAAACCAAGTGCAAACTGAATGTATCTAAACCACACAAAACGAATATTTACCCTATAATAATCTTTGTGACAGCTCTGTTGAGATATAATTCACCTATACCATACAATCCACCTATTTCAAATGTACTATTTAATGGTTTCTGTCTAGCATGTTTACAGAGTTGCGCAGCCATCACCACAATCGGTTTTAGAATATTTTCATCACCCCAAAAAGAAACCCATAGCCATTAGCAATCATTCTTCATTTCCCCCCTCAACTTTCCCCCCAGCCCTAGCCAACCACTAAGCGACTTTCTGTCTCTATGGGATTTTTCTATTCTGTACATTTCATATAAATGTAATCTTACTATGCAATCTTTTCTGAGTGGCTTTGTTTACTTAGCACAATGTTTCCAAGGTTTGCCCATGTTGTAGCATGTATCAGTACTTCATTTCTTTTTATTGCTACATAATATTCTGTTATATGAATACGCTACATTTTGTTTTTCCATTCATCAACTGATAGACATTTGGGTTGTTTCTGCTTTTTGGCTATTATGAATAATGCAGCTATGAACACTCATGTACATGTTTTTTGTGGACATATGTTCCTAATTTTCTTGACTATTCACCTAGGAGTGGTAACTATGTTTAACCTTTTGAGAAAATGCTAGACTGCTTTCCAAACATCTGTACCACTTTACATTCTTGCCAGGAGTGTGTGAGGGTTCTAATTTCTCTAACTTCTTCATCATTGTTATTATCTGTCTTTCTGATTACAGTCATCCTAGAGGGTATAAAGTGGTATCTCATTATGGTTTTAATTCAGTCATTCCCCTCCCCCCGAGACAGGGTCTTGCTCTGTTGCCCAGGCTAGAGTACAATAACACAATCATAGCTCACTGCAGGCTCCAACTCTTAGGCTCAAGGGATCCTCCTACCTCAGCCTCCCCATTAGCTAGACTGGATCTCTAGAAAAAATGGCATCCCTGCCCCATCACCTCCTCAGTTATCCTTTCTTGACGAATTATACTCTCTCGCAAATTAACCTCCATCATTTCCTTCTACAATGCCTCTTCCTTATGACCTACAAAATGAAAAGCCTCTTCAACCTTTTCAAACTTTTTTTAATTAACCCACCTCATCAGGTGTCCTCTTAAACTACCTAGGCAATTGTTATCCTTCTTTTTACCAGAGAGAAATCCCATGTGTTTGCTAACATACATGCTTATTCTCATTTAATTTTCACAGAAAAACTAAGGCTCAAAGAGGCTTTGCCTTGAATCACACAGCTAATTTGTGGTAAAGCCAACATTCAAAAGCTTTGTTATATCTCCTTTCGAAATAGGTACAAAAAGATTGCCTCTCATACATCAAGTAATTCAAGTGAAGGCAGGAGAAACTGCCAAAAGCCTAGAAAGAGATGAAAGATATGTCAAAGTAACAAGAGGCAGATGTCACAAATTCACGTATCCACACATCGTGACTCCTATCAATGCATTCTACCACAATTGTTATTTCCCTCTTCTTACTGGTATAAAAAATAACTATGTTTCTTCTATGATCACTGCTGTCTTAGATGCAATGAAATTTGGTAGCTCCCTTGGTTCCCCATAGTTTTCCATTTTCCAGTTCCAGTCTCTCATAATACCAATCTGTTTTTCAAGCCTTGGGTTCTACTATAAACTCCACATCCTTCTGATATTCATTCATTCATTCATTCCTCTCTCACTGACTTTTGCTTAAACAAATATATGTATTTCTATTCCTTGCAACTAAAAGAGTCTTGACAATGAGAAGCAGAAAGTAAATCAGTATAGTAGCCTAAAAAGACAACTCTGATTACACACAGTCAAAATAATTAGAAAAGAAATGCTTGCAAGCTCTATCATACAAAACAAAGCCAAAAGCTCAAAGACACTACATATGAACATCCCTTATCTAGCCTAACCTTTGGTTCACAAAAGTAGATTTTAAATGGTAGCTAATCTTTGGGTAAAAAAAAGTCAACATCATTACTTCATGCATAATAGTATTAGATGCTTTCCAAGCTTAAAATACACAGTATATTTACGTTTCCACACACACCACTGATACATTTTTCTAATCATTTTGACTATGTGTTATTTCATTTGATCTTGTCACCTCATAAAGTAGGTGGGACATTCCTTTTTTACAGTTAAGAATACAGATAAAAGTAAAGAGTAACTCATGGTATAAAAGTTAAGGCGAGAAAATATAAATCAAAAATCCAGGTTTAAAATTTTCTATGCTCTTTCTAATAGCCAATAAGTTACCTAACACCGTGAAATTTATCACCTTAATCATAAGAGCTCTATTAAAGCTGACTCTTCACTCAGTAATCTTGCCTCTAGTTTGGAACACTGTCTCAAAGAGCTGAAAACTAATTAAAAAAAATAACTTTCCATATGATCTGTTACTCCCCTTTCAAAGAATTTAGTGGAAGGCCATGTGCACAATGAACACTGTGAATCTAGTACAAAAATTACAGAACAATTTCATTAAGAACTATATCTTTCTTATTAACCTTGAAAACTTCAGTGACAGGCCACCATATTTGCAAATGTAAAAGTAAAATTAGATAAACTTACCATTTGGGTGCCAGATTTCTGTAATGAATTTCATTTTAGGAGGCCGGAGGGGATAATCTTTTGGGAAAGTGAGATGAGCCTTAAAAACACCACCTTCACTGGAAAAAACAAAAACAAAAACAAGTTCTTGCCTATAAGTTCTTGCTTATAAGTAAACAATCATTAAAAAAAATATACAAAACAAGGATGTTAGCACTAAAACCAAAAATGAAATAAATAAATAATCTGGATTTCCTATAGGCAGTTACCAGCAGTCACTAGTTATTAAACTCTCAAGACAGCTAGTAAAATGAAAGAAAACATTTGCTAAAAAGGCATCCAGTTCAGATCACATTACTGCTATTCAACAAACCTTCCTATCACTTCCCAATGTACTTTCAACAAAATTCAGAAGGTTTAATATCACCTACAGGGTTTAAGTCACCACTTTCCCTAGGTTGTTCTCAAACCATAATTCTTCTCTCTGTTCTCTAGCCTGTCTTATTTCAGTTCCTCAAACCTACCAAGCACTCCCTCATCTTAAAGCTTAAGTACATTTTGTCACTCTCTGTCAGGCAGCAGATATGCTGCTTCCATTCAACCATCCGTTTATTCATTTCATCATTTAACAAATATTTATTTGGCGCTTGTCTTAATCTCTAGGAGTATCGCAGTGAACAAAATCTCAAGGACTATTTATTCTACTGACTTTCCGGAGTGCCACTGCCCAAGAGAACTTTCCGCAACATTGAAGACGCTCTATATTTGTGCTGTCTGTCTAATAATGTAGCCACTACCAACTTGAAATATGGGTAGTACAACTAAGGAACTGAATCTTTTTATTTTATCTAATTTTAATAGCCACATGTGGCCAGTGACTGCTATATTAGTGCAGTTAAAGATCACTGCCATTTAATTAGGAACTGTTCTTGAAGATCTGTCAAAAGAACAATACCATGAGTTGTACACATTAAAACTAAAGAGGTCAGCTCAGCCTTAAGAGACAAAAATGACTAAATTCCTGTCTTGTAGCCTTGGTACTAAATGTTGCCTCTGATAGAAATACACTTGTCCCTTTGTCTTCTGATCATCATTCAGTACTCAGCTTAAATGTTACCTCCAGAAAAAATTTATTTGCCTAACAATCTAAACTAGGGTCTTTCTATCACATTGACCTCTTTTAATTTCTTTATTGCAACAGTGCTTTGCAAATCTGATTCAAGACCTTAGAGCAAGGTCATATGATTTTGGTTGCTTCAAATCAATGAGAAACGGAATTCTCAGCTCATTAAATATTTTCATTCATTGAAAAAATGTACATGAATTGTACACAAGCAATATTGACTTTTACTGCCTTTTCTGATCATAAAAGCAAGATGGGGAGGCACACAGATTAAGTTTAAAGAGGAGAGGTAAGATCATTAATAACAAATACTTCTGAATACTTACGAAAAAGGCCACAAGATTCAGAGTATAAAACGTCACTGATCTTGATAATACAATTTTGGTAAAAGCAATAGGGAAAAGATTTCAAAGGATTGAAGAATGGAGTGGTGAAGTACAAGCATAATACATAACGAACAGGATAATTTGTACAAGAAGTTTAACAGTTTTAAAAAAATGGTAACTAGATGGGGAAATAGTACAAATGAAGGGCTTTAAAAGAGCAGGGAAAACCCTACTTTGTTTACAAGAAGATGGGAAAATGTTACAAGAAAGACTAAAGATGCCAGAAAAAGAATAACTAAGAAATCAAACAGAAGAGGAAAGAAAATAAAGGTAGAAGCGGGCCTAATCATGCAAAAGAAAGAACATCCTTTCTTTTCCCACAGGAAGAAAAACAGATTAAGTGTAGTACAGATATCTAGGGATAGAAAGCAAGAGAAATGACAAATTTTATGCTTGCCTTAGGAGTTTGCTTTTCGTAATTTATGAGGTTATCTATTAAAGGGAAAAAAACACGAAGACTTGAAGGAAACAGAGACAAGAATAGCTGTTGTGAAGAAAGCATTACACTGATAAGAGAGAAATCTTTATCTTCTCAGCCTATGTTACCTCAACTGTGCAAGTTAGTGCCAAAGGTGATCTTAGGACATATTAATTATATGGACTAGTCTTTCAAACAGGGGCTGCAAAAGCATTTAATGAGTCATAGCCAGTTTTTTTGTCGTTGTTATTTACAAAAATAGAATAGAAAGCATGGGGTTTATCACCAGTAGTTTGAGTTGTATAATCTATGCATGTGTTTCCATTCACTCATCTATACACACAAATGTATGCAGCAGCTCGTGATGTAAAATACTTCTGATTACGGGTTTTGGCAAGAAAACAAACAAACCAAAAAAACCCCAAACGAAGATTAAAAGCCACAAGTATAGAAAACAGCCAAGAATCCATATAAAAGGACATCAAAATAGCTACCGCAAAGCTCACGCACTTTATTCCACTGATAAGACTATTTCTTGACAATATTAAGTTCGCATCCCCAAGTCACTTAATTTTGATTAGTTAGATCCATTCAAAAGCTTCATAATAGCTGACTGGAATCCTCATCATGAAAGAGGACTGCCTTAGTTCCTCTAAATTGTTTTCAATCATTAAAATATCAACCAAATTTAAGTTAACAGGGTTGCCCTAAAGTTTTAAAGCACACAATTTTACTCTACCAGAAATGCCCTCACCAACTCTGAATCAATCATGCTATTTCTTAAGTTTTTTTTCCTATCTGTGGACCCCTCACCTTCTATATATTTTACCTGTGGAAACACTACCCGTTTTTTTTTTAATGCCTAAATCGATAGTACCCAATTTATGGGTGCAAGCTTCTAGCCAAGTTTGCAAAGAGGAATCCAAAAACCCACAGGGGACAGTAACACTGTGGAGTAGACATTAGTATGTCACATATTCTCTATTTTTCAAATCTGGAAAGATGCTACTATGGTGAGCAAAGGAAAATTTATTTCAAAGCACCAATGGGGCATGGGGCGGTGGCTCGTACCTATAATCCTAGCACTCTGGGAGGCTAAGGCGGGAGGGTCGCTTGAGCTCAGGAGATCGAGACCAGCCTGAGCAAGAGCGAGACCCAGTCTCTACTAAAAAGAGAAAAATTAGCAGGGTGGTGTGCACCTGTAGTCCCAGCTACTGGGGAGGCCGAGGCCGGAGGATCGCTTGAGCCCAGGAGTTGGAGGTTGCAGTGAGCTATGATGACGCCACTGCACTCTACCCAGGGTGATAGAGCAAGACTCTATTTCTCAAAACAAACAAACAAAAAAAGAATTCAAAATATGTTTCCTTTCATTATATATTCTCTTCATCACAGATATTAATACTAACAGTATAGTTACTAGCATCTAGCATGATATTAAAAGGAGGTATACAACCAACAGTTTCATATTATAAAACTTTTGAGAAACCTAGGCTTAGTTCAAGTTTCTTTCACGAGGAAGAAACTTACTGTTTTTGTATTAAATTATAAAATACTTATAAGGATTACATCCTATCATTCTGCCACAGTGATTTTATTTAAATGATATACTGTATGCTATCTTCTGAGATTTTGTTCAACACTATTCTATTAGTCTATATCCTTGCTGGTACCTCTTGTTCACTCACTTTATCTGACATAATTCACAATTTATCCATTATTCTCATAAGGTATTTCATTGCTTTCAATTTTTTCCTATTACATGTAATAGAGCACTGAACATTTCTTAGGAATAGGGTTTTTACCCTAAAGTGGAACTAAGACCAAATTTAAGTAATATTTCTAAGCAATGCAGGCACTAGGTTCATTCTCTCCAGAATTTCATCACAGAACATATGGCTTGTGCCTCTAAGTCTTAAATGGGACTCTAAAAGAATTTTGTAACTGTAACAGAATTTTGTGACTGCAAAAAAATGTTAATGAAAGAGTTTTGGTTAGCTGACTTCTCATTATCTATAGCCACCAAAGGTAAGACAATACTACAAAACGCGTATATATAATCTAAGATTCCCAAATTTTTCACACCATTGCCAGTGTAGGAAACAAGGCATACTTCTTCAACAGACCAGCCACTGGTAAGGAAAAAAGGAAGTTATAGATAAAAGGTCACTCATTAACACAAATTTATAAAGTTTATAATTATATAGTGATATCCAGGTCTCTTAAACTTTCTCTAAAAACCTACTGTTACTCCTATCTGAAATCTTTATATCTGTGGATATATGTGGCTATCCACACTGCTTGATTATCAGTCTGAAATACCAGATATACCGTGTCATTTTCAGAATGTACACTTCACGCAGTACTGCCTCAAGAATCTATTCTTAGCAGCACTACTCTAGTGCTAGATTCATTAATGGACAGAACAGTAATAAAAATGTAATGCCTTCATAAAAATGTAATATCTTCATATCTTCTTATATGAAGATAAGTATAATGACTAAATCAATACTCGTGGCAAATATCAATCTCAAAGTGACACCTAAATATACCAGTTATTGATGACATCGACTGTAAAGAGTTCAGAGTGCCCTCTAGTGACTAAATGAAGGCTAATGATGCCACCATGAAATCTCACACTAGCTTTTTACAGAATTCTGGCACAGTATTATTTCCATGATCTAATTAGTAAAGTGGTGAATTAATCACTTAGCTAGTGTGTGTGCTAAAACCATACTAACTTATTTTCAACGCTGTGATCCCTTATCCCACACTATAAGCCTCTGCTGCCTTTCACAGGTAGGTATTTATACTTAAAATCTAGCTATTCACTCCCAACAGCACTCTTCGAACAACTCCAAAATGGCCTCTCCTTTCTTCACTCCACTGAAATAACTATGAGGACATAACTACCTTCCTTACTGTTAAGTCAACAAATACTTTTTTTCTTTTTTTTGACACAGAGTCTTGCTCTGTCACCCTGGGTAGGGTGCAGTGGCATCATCATAGCTCACTGTAACCTCAAACTCCTCCCGCCTCCGCCTCCAGAGTAGCTCGGGCTACAGAGTAGCTAGGACTATAGGTGACAGGCCAGCACCACCACGCCAGGATAATTTTTCTATTTTTAGAAGAGGCAGGGTCTCGCTCCTGGTCAGGCTGGTCTTGAACTCCTGAGCTTAAGCAATCCTCCTGCCTCAGCCTCCCTGAATGCTAGGATTATAGGCATGAGCCACCATGCCGAACCCAAATACTTAAGCATTCTATTAAGTACTTGATTCTTGATAGCATTTTAAAAGGCTTACTTCCATAAAACCTTTCCTCACCTCATTTTCCTTGTACCTTCCTAGCTTCCTTCCTTTGCCTTTCTCAGGGTCCTGCATAGGCACATGCACTATTCTCTATTCCCTGAACGCTGCTGACTTTAGGAAGGCACAGTTGAGAAAGTGGCCACCAGTTGTCTCATCAGCAAGTACATACTCCAGAGGAGCTGCCACAAACGCTGCTGCTATTCATATCTCGAATCAATAGCCTACACTTTTTTTTTTTTTTTTGAGACAGAGTCTCACTCTGTTGTCCTGGCTAGAGTGCCGTGGTGTCATCATAGCTCACAGCAACCTCAAACTCCTGGGCTCAAGCGATCCTTCTGCCTCAGCCTCCCGAGTAGCTGGGACTACAGGCATGTGCCACCATGCCCGGCTAATTTTTTCTATGTATTTTTAGTTGTCCAGATAATTTCTTTCTATTTTTAGCAGAGATGAGGTCTCGCTCTTGCTCAGGCTGGTCTCGAACTCCTGAGCTCAAACAATACACCCGCCTCGGCCTCCCAGAGTGCTAGGATTATAGGCATGAGCCACCACGCGCCCGGCCTAATAGCCTACACTTTTAAAAATGTATGCTAAAGCCCAGAAATGGGTTTTTATTAGTGAAAAGAATAGCCTGTTAATTAGAACACTGAGTATTGAAAGTGGTTTTCTTTGGTGAAGCTGGAGGTATGCAAAATATAGTCATGCATCACTTAACAACAGGGATACATTCTGAGAATGCATCACTGGGCAATTTCGTCCTTCTGCAACCATCATAGAGTGTATTTACACAAAGCTAGAAGGTATAGCCTACACACTACACACCTAGATTATATGGTACAGCTTATTGCTCTTGGCTACAACCTGATAGAGCATGTTACTATAGGCAACTGTAACAGAATGGTAAGGATTTGTATATGAAAACATAAAAATGGCACAGTAAAATACTGTGTAAAACATTACAAAATGGCACACCTGTATAAGTAGCTAGTATGAATGGAGCTTGCAGGACTGGAAGTTGCTCTGGCTGAGTCAGCCAGTGAGTGGTGATTGAATGTGAAGGCCTAGGAATGTGAAGGCCTTACTGTACACTACTCTAGACTTTATAAACACTGTCCACATTATGTTAAATTTATTTTTAAAACTTTTTTCCTCACGCCTATAATCCTAGCACTCTGGAAGGCCGAGGCGGGAGGATCGCTCAAGGTCAGGAGGTCAAGACCAGCGTGAGCAAGAGTGAGACCCTGTGTCTACTAAAGATAGAAAGAAATTATCTGGACAACTAAAAATATATAGAAAAAAATTAACCGGGCATGGTGGCGCATGCCTGTAGTCCCAGCTACTTGGGAGGCTGAGGCAGAAGGATCGCTTGAGCCCAGGAGTTTGAGGTTGCTGTGAGCTATGTGAGCTAGGATGACGCCACAGCACTCTAGCCCGGGCAAAAAGAGTGAGACTCTGTCTCAGAAAGAAAAAAAAAAAAAACAAAACTTTTTTCTTTCTTCAAATTAACCTTAGCTTATCGTAACTTTTTTACTGTACAAAGTTTTAATTTTTTTTTTACTTTTTGGCCCTTTTGTAATGACACTTAGCTTAAAATACAAACACATTGTACAGCTGTACAAAAATATTTTCTTTCTTTATATCCTTATACTATAAGCTTTTTTCCATTTTTATACTTTTTAAAGTTGTTTCTCAAAAACTAAGACATAGACACACACATTAGTCTAGGCCTACACGGAGCCGGGATCATCAGTATCACTATCTTCCACTTCCACACCTTGTTCCTCTGGAAGGTCTTCAGAGGCAATAACACACGTGAAGCTGTCATCTCCTATGACAATAATGCCTTCTTCTGGATACCTCTTGAAGCTGTTTTACAGCTAATACACACAGACACACACAGACAGACACACACACACACACACACACACACACACACACACAGAAAACACGCATGTAGAAGGAGTGTACTCTAAAATAATAATAAAAAGTATAATAAAAACATAAACCAGTAACAATCATTTATCATTATCAAGTGCTATATATGATTGTATGTACAGTACTTTCATAGGACTAGCAGCACAGTAGACTTATTTATACAAGTATCACCCAAATACGTGCACTGTGCTATGATATTACAACAGCTACCATGTCATTAGGTGATAGGAATTTTTCAGCTCCGTTATAATCTTACAGGACCACTGTCATATATGTGGTCTATTATTGACCGAAACATTGTTATAGAGTGTACAACCGTATATATGGACCAGCTAATAATATTTAAAGATATGTACCACAACTACATTAAAAAAGTGTAAAAATTCAGTGAGGCCTATAGAGTTGGAACTCAAGCCTGGATTCCTAACTAATGTTCCATATAGATAGCAGTTTAGGAGAATTTCTCTTGTCATCTTGTACCTACTGTAAGGATAGCTAGATTCTGTCACTGGAATGTCACCATGTCTCTCCTGAGGAGGTGTTGTTGAAAAAACTGAAATAGACCTGAAAATCTTTAGGCTCATAGACCAGGTTGAATGCATAGTTTTGTGTGCAAAATTTGTTAAGAAATTTGCTTTCAAATAACAAGAAAGTTGTGAGGAAATACTTCTAAGATGGTTTTTAATAGCTACTGATATCTACCAAAGAACTGTAATGTTCTGGAATGACCAAATTCAGTTATCTCAGTTTGCAAAACTTACCAATGCAAACATACTTCTAGGAAACACATCAGTAAAAATTCTGATAGGCAACAGTTATTACAAAGCATAAATCCTTTTTTCAGACTATAAAAAACACAAATATCCATACTATGGCTCAATTCTGCATGCCTTGGTCTGCTCTGGTATAGAAGTAGCTCTGAATTTTTTTTTTCATCAGCTGTTTTGAGGGAGAAAAGAGCTACTATTTTAGAAAACCTAAAAAAAATACTTACCCATCACAGACAAAAAAAAACCAAAAACCTCTGATACATCCAAATCCTTGCTCACTTAGAATCATCGAGGATCAAGGCTGAGTGAGGAAATAAACTACTCGGGAAACTCAGATCTAGATCTGTCGCTGTCACTCAGTTGTCTGGCTTTGAGAAGCTCACTTCATTTTTTTCCCTACTACCTCAACTTCTATAAAAAGCATGGAAACTTGTACCAGGCACCAATATCAGGCAGTCTTGATGCATCTTAAAAATCAACAAATACTAGTAAATTGAAGTTAGTCTGCAAACAGAGCAGAAAATAAGACTGTAGTCTCTGAATCTAGAAATGTATTACATGAAATATTAACATTTAAGAAATTCTATTGCTGTTTGATACCATTACCTTATTCTCTTATCTTTAAATCATTGGTTCAGCAACTGCCAGTCAGTTAATACATTATTTGATACCCTAAGAATAATTTGTATAAATTAGGAGAAACTGACCATTAGTTCATTTTAGGGGCAGAACACCTTGATTCTGATCAATATTCTGCAGAGACCCAATTAGAGAACCACTAAGGTAGATGATCTTGAAAGTTCTCTCTAGCCTTAAGACACTGACGTGTACAATATGTTCTCTACGACAATGTCCCAGAAAAATGCAATTCTATACTTTAATAAACTGATCAAAGAATGGCAAACTCTTGCTCCTAAAAATTATGACATTCCCTTTGGGGGTTAAGGCACAGTATGCACAAGAGAAGGAAAGAAGAAAAACATTTCAATACAAGTTTTTCTTCTTTCCCCAATCCTGCCAAAATTAATCTCCTAATTTCTGGAATACAAGTTAAAAATATATCATTTATATTTAACCTCACCATAAAGATAGTTTTTCTATAATAAACTTATTCTAGGTATATAGAATATCTGAATTTCTGAAACTATAGTATATTTTAAAAAGCAACTTCAAGCAGAACGCAAAAACCCTAAACATGCTCAAATTCAGTATGAATGATGCTAAACATTGGTATTTCACATGCTCCTTAAAAAATAATTTCATTTCTGTTTGCCAAAATAGTTTTAATCCAATTAGTTAAACAAGCTCCATTTTGAAGATGTCAGTTCCATTATACTTACTAAAGTGTATCTGGGGGACCAATAATAAGGACTTCCCATCGGTAGAGATCATTGTCATCTATTAAACCTGCCGAAAAGCCTTCTACTGGATTTTTGTTGAGTTCTGTAGAAAAAGAACAGTTTGATCAGTATTTTTAAGCACATAATTTTCACCCACTAGATAAATTATAGAACTTGAGCATATATGTCATAAGGTCTAAACCATTATATGGATATACCTTTCCAGGCAAAATGCTATCTGATGGCCAAAACATTTCCATTTCTATTGTATAAGGAAGCCATATGGTACTTAGACCCTGGTGTCCAGCCAGGCTCTTACCATTCTAGACAGCCCTACAGAGGTCTTTCAAGAGAGCTTGTTAAAATGCAGATCCAGGCCCATAACCCAGAATTTCTGGTTCAGAAAGAACTAGAAATCAAATCAAGAATGTTAATTCTTATGCTGTGGTCTTTAGGGTATACATTCATAAATAATAACTTTTCATTGGAGTTTACTGAGCATAACTAACTTTCATTTATATTGACATCTGTATATCTATTTTACACGTTCCCTCCGGTCATGGGGACAGTTTACATCTGTTGTTCTTATATGGTCCATCATAATCTGAGCACAAGGACAGCAGAGGCCCCATCTGTCCTGCTTGTGTGTATTGACCCCTCTGCTGGCCATGGCTTCCAGCACAGAGGAGTAGCTTAAGAAAACAAGCTAGAGCCTACAAGGAATGGCTGTGGTATCATGAGGTTTTTCTCTTCTAAAGAAAGTGCTCTGGTATGGAGAAAGAAAGACCAGGGTGGGGGGCAAGAACAGAGGCAAGGAACTAGTGAGGTGGGGGCCACACAAACCAAGAGGAGATCTTAGGGAGTAGATACGGAGGGGTGCGAAGCCCGAAGTTTCCAGAGATACAAGGCTTAATAGAGTTATCAAATGTTTTACCTGCCAGAGGAGCTGAGCACTGATTGGCTCAAATTGGGAAGTAGGGACAAAGGACATGCAAGAATAGAGTGTTTCTGAAAGGACCTGGTGAGAATCTGAACAGGTATGCAATTCTCATGTAATACCTGCCATCATCCTCAAGAAGCTCCATCTAATGATGAAAGTAAGAATAACACAACTCAGAGTGCTATAAAAGACTGAGCAAAGTATGTTGGTGATTGAGAAGATTTAATTTTTTTGAGGGATCAGAGATGGTATCATTTCAACAAGTAAGAGTTAACATCCCAACATACCAGGGAAACATGCAGAAAGCCGATAGTGAACGTTTATATTTAAACATAAAAACTTTTCTCAAAATTTGAGGGGAGATTTTTATAAGTCTAACATTTTTGCCTACCAGGTAAAATAGACTTTTATAAGTAATTATTAATAAAATCAGTAGTAGTGTATTTCGAAACACAAGAAATGTATTTTTACTTTTTCTTTAAGAGACAGTATCTTACTCTGTCACCCAGGCTGGAGTGCAGTGGCATGATCATAGCTCACTATAACTTCCAACTCCTGGGCTTAAGTAATTCTGCCAGCTCAGCCTCCCAAGCAGCTAGAACTACAGGCACACCCAGCTAATTTTTTATTTTATTTTTTGTAGAAACAGAGCGTTGCTAAGTGTTGCCCAGGCTGGTCTTGAACTCCTATCCTCAAGCAATGCTCCTATCACAGGCATGCCAAGATCACAGGCATGAGCTGCCATGCCCATCCTATTTTTACTTTTAAATAGCTATTCTAAAATATGTTAAAAAGATATTGAAGGGGAGACAGGGGAGAGAAAAAAATAAAAAATAAAAGATATTGAACACGCAAAGATACTAAGATAGGAATTACATTTTAATTTTGTTATTTTGTTTATGCATGCATGAGTGTCGACTATGTTGCAGACATACTAGAGAAGAAACGAAAGTCCCACTTTACTGTCAACTGAGGGATGGAGTGGAGCACAGACAAATGCAATGTGGCAGTTATTTTCTACGTGAGTTACCTCACTTCCAACCTTTTCTAGATGAACACTACTGTGTTACTCAGATCATTTTCTCCAACACTGTACAAAAGAGTCCTGTGAAAGATTCTATATATAATTTATCCAGAAATCATCTAGCTGTTGCATAAAGCTCCACAGGTCCAGTGGAGCTTTATAAACACAGATGGGTAACCTTTGAAATCAGTATATATGGTCAAAATTACCATTGAAAATTTCCTTACACTTTCCAAAAAGTGTATCATTACTTCTCACTTTTGTCCAGACACCCTAAGTTCTTAAAACCTTTTGCACATTCTTTCCATGATTTTCTTCTACAGTCATAATTGTGTCCTTTGCTTATTCCACGTAAATGCAAAAGCAGTGTTAAACAATGTCCCACATCTCACTTTTGTTACAGGTTGTGCCCCTAGTATGGATCCTTTTAGGACTAGATGTCTCAATACCAAACAGATTTAACTGAACTATAGTGGCAGACCATTACCATACTTCATGATGCTTCCTTCAAAGTCCAGTTCAAGTACTATCTCCCTCCATGTGGTCTTCCTAAACAATTTATCAAATAATCTTCTTTTGACTTCCCTAAATTCCTATTAATTATCCTTTTGTCTGTACTACCTCATCTGGCACTTGACTATCATCAGCTCCTGATACCCAGAGAAATATAAAGGTAATAAAAGAATGTACAGTAAATGCTCCAACAATAGCACAGGAATCTGCGGGAACACAAAAGAAGGACACATAACATAATCATGAAAACTCAGCAAAGGCTTCTAAAAAGAAAAGAAATAAGACAAAGGATTGGGGGGTGATTGAAGAGGAGTTGGTTAATGAGTACAAATACACAGTTTGACAGACAAGATGAGACCCAGTGTTTGCTAGATCAGTGGGGTGACTATAGTTTATAACAATATATTGTAAATTTCAAAATAGCTAGAAAAGAATTTGAATGTTTCTAACATAAAGACAAATATTTATGATAAAAGATATCCCAATTACACTGATTTGATCTTTACAAAGTGTACGAATGTATTAAATTACCACATGTACTCCCAAAATATGTACATTATGTGTCAACAAAAAATAAAATTAAAAAGAAAATATATTTTTAAAAAAGACAAAGAATTTGGATAGGGGAGTATTAGATTTAGATAGAGGAGCAGGTACAAAATCTTGAAATATGGAGATCAGTATATGACTAGAACAGAGGGTGGGGCAGTTGAAATTAGACAGAATGTCAGAAGCTATACAGCAATGGGCCTTTGTTAAGCCGTAGTCTGTACTTTATCCAGAGAGCAATGGTGAGCCTTTGAAGGGCTGTTCCCTTTTTTTTTTCAAAAACAATAGGGTGACCTCATGAGATTTACATTTGCAAAAACCAATCTTAAAGTATGTGGAAGATTACATAAATAAGGCTTTGGTAAGGACAAAGAAACCCAAAAGGAAGCTATTACAGTAATCTTGAAAAGCGTACATCCAGTATATGGTAATAAATAGAAACAATACATAAAAACAGGGATATTTGGGAGATAGAATAAATCAACCAAATGTTGTGTAGGGATTAAAGTAATAAGTCAAAAATGGCATACAATTCTTCCAAAAGTTGAATGCAGAGTTACTGTAAGACCCAACAATTCTACTCCTACCCAAGAGAAATGAAAGCATCCATCCACACAGAAAGTTACACATGAATGTCTGTAAGAGCATTAGTCATAAAAGCCAAAAGGTAGAAACAACTCAAATGCCCATCAACCAATGAATGGATATAGACAAACTGCAGTATATACATACAATGGAATATTATTCATCTATAAAAAGAAATGAAGTACTAATACATGCTACAACTGGATGAACCTTGAAAATATCAGACTAAATTAAGGAAGCTAGACACATAAGATCACACATGACTTTTTTTATATGATATAGCCAGAGAGATAGAAAGTAAATTAGAGGTTACCAATGGATGGGGGGAGGGAGAAACGAGGCATGATTACTTAATGGGTTTGGGGAGTGGTTAATGGGGTGATGAAAAAGTTATGAAACTACAGAGAGCTGGTGGTTGCACAACATTGTGAATACACCAAATACCACAGAATGGTACACTTTAACATGGGTGATTGTATGTGAATTTTACCTTTATTTTTAAAAATGACACACAGGTTTCTGTGCAGGGGTGGGAATCAGTTCATGCACTGAAATGAGAAATAAAAGAGGAGGTACTCGTTTGAGGGGTCAGCAGAAGGAATGGTGATGGGTTTAGTTTTAAGAGTCTATGGAGCATAATTACATTGTTTTAAAAAGAAATATCTGAGCTAAACATAGAGATTTGGAGGTTATCAGAATATGCTTGATAACCGAAGTCAAAAGACTGATGGCATCATACAAGGATAATCGTAAGTATAAACTGCAGAGCACATAACTGAACACATTCTAGAAAATACCAACGTTTGGGGGATAAAATAGGACGTTGTACAAGCGACTGAGAAGGGTAAAGCCAGGGATGTAAGAAGAAAACCTGAGGAAAATTGTATCAAAGAAGCCAAAGGCAAAGCACTTCAAGGAGAAAGTACCCACCAATAATAAATACACATTGCTCAGGAAAGAGGTGATCCGAATTCAGTCCACTGGGTTCAGTAAAAAGAAGGACATGGATGCCCTTGGCATAACTAGTTCTAAAGTAATGGTGAGGCTGAATCCATGCAGGCAACACTGAGTTGACGGAAAGAAGGTGAAGTGGAAAAATCCAAGCAGAAATTTCTAAAGTCTGATGATGGGTAGAAAAGTCTAGTAGTCACAGGTAGATGAAATTCAATCAAGTTTTTTAAAAAGAAAAGGCTGGAAGATGTTGAAACATCCTATCTGCATTAAATGTTGATATGGATACCTCACACTAAATTCAAATCCAGATGGATTACAGAAATAAACAAACAGATATAAAACCTAACTAAAAGAAAATTTACAGTTTTTAAAATAATCTTGAGTGGAGGTGGCCTTCCTAAGCAGGACACAAAACTCAGCAATGAAATTATACTACACAAAATATTTTAAGCGCAGTATAGCAATAAAGTCTAAATACAAATGACAGAGTGGGATAGAATATTTGCAACATTATAGTTAAAAGTCTGATATCTAATAA